GGGTGGGGCCAAAACACGGGTAATAGAAAATGGCCGGCAATTTGTGTTGATCCAATCTTAAGCATGGCAAAGGTGTATCAGTTGGTAGGGCGCCTTCTTTGCGCCGTGAGCAACCTGTGCCTTAACTTTCATTGAGCTTGGCCATTTCTCATCATTTGCTGTTTAAGGACGGGTTGAATACAACAACCCCGCCATGCGCTTCATCTGCAAAGATTGTAAAGCTGTTCAACTCCAGCCCGGCCATGGCTGCAATGCAATTCCCAGGCCTCTCCGATGTACCTTGGCTTGACCGTGTGGACCCACTTTGTCATCAGCTCTGGCTGGAAAGTTCCCAACAATGGAGCTTTGCCATGGACTAAATGGAACATCCATGGAATTACCATCTGGTTATGACTAACATAGCCATGGAAAATCCCAACCATAAATGGAGGTTTATAGCTGGGAAAATCATCTATAAATGGGCCATTTTCCATGGCTATGTTAAATAACCAGAGGGTAAATTAAATGGTGGATCTTCCAACAAGCCATGTGACTGACTGCCGGAAGGTACATTCCAACCACTTCACCATTCTCCCAGCCATTGATCTCCGCCAAGCTACATGAACTCCTCGCGATTCCAGCCAAACAAACCTGGAGCGTTGGGGTCAAGCTATCCTACTGGATCATTACTGGATCCAAAGCGTGATTTTCAAGTCCCTACTATGTCTTGGGATAATTTTGATCCGCTTCTTCCCATTATCCTCCCCGTCCTTTCTGGGATCAAAAGATAAATGATCTAGAGTGTGATAATTTACCACCCCCCACTTGCTTGAGCCCAAGGATGAGGCCCGAATGTCCAAAGCCCAAGTCCACGCTAAGGCATCAGTTGCCATCTCTCAGCTACCTCCCTCTAAGCTACCTACCCTCTCAACTCAGCGGCCTTTTGTGGTCAGTACGCAAGGCTACTGTAGACAAATCCGGAACTGGGAGTTTCTCTGCGAAACTTTCTTCAATAGCTGACGTGACAGAAAATAACATCACGCTACCTATACATTTGCGTTTAGGCACCATGCCTGGGGCACCATGCCCAACCCATTTCACCCACCCACTGCCTGATGGCTTGTAGGTGTAATGCCAGGAATCGTCGCGGTCACCGGGCAGCTTCGGCAAGCGCCGCACTGCACCTCAGGGAGTAGGTTGATCGATCAACCAAGTGAGGTAAAACATGGGAAAAGGCGGTAAAACATGGTAAAACTATCTCAAAATATCTCAAAATTAATATCAAAAGATCTCAAAACTATATCAACACATATCATGACCACCCTTTGATCAATACATATCAAAAATACCAACGAATTTCCTCAACAACGAATTCCAATTTTTCTCGGCCATGGCTTAAGATGCTTAAGATGCTTAAGTCAAGCATCGCCAATTGACCAGCCATCGGCCCTGCAGAAAATTGAAATAGATGGCGCAGGGCATAATGACGCGGTGCGGCAAAAAGAGCACAATCGTTGCCTCAGCTTCTGGGCGGCCCAAAGTTTTTTCAACGCTGAGTTGATGTCTACATAATTCTAATAGCTATTAGATGCTAGAAAAAAGAGTAACTAATAGTAGGCTTTTTCTAGGGGAATCTGGTAGATATACCGAACTACAGTAGTATAGTGACATATAGTGACTGTAAACAAACTAGATAACTAGAGGGGGTTATAAACCAGCACAACTGAGAGGCACAACAACGTATTTTACACCAGGTCTGATGCGCCAGCGATCTGATCTGAGTCATTTCACCCAAACGGATTCCCTTCGTTGTCACAGCAAAATAGCTGTTGTCTATGGCAATTATGATATAATTGGTAAGTGTCTATGGATCAAAAATACCTATAAAATCCCATAAATCTCAAAAATACCTATAGAATACCTATAAAATACCTATAAATACTGTATCCCCTTCAACATCGTGTTTATAGCTATTGATCCGTAGCCAATCCTAGCAACTCCCACCAAGCCATACCCTGCGCCGTCCCAGATGCCAAAAGAATAGCCAGGAAAACATAAGACGCCATGATTTGATTGACGTCCACGCCTCGTTTCAGTTCAGCATGGCTGTGGATCAACATTGGGGGAGCCTGTCCTGAGCCTGTCCTGAATCTGCTCGGAATAGACTCTTTGGGGTAATCTAACCTGCCAGTGGATATTACCACCAAATTGGAAGTTTCGACGAAATGTGGAACTTTTCTAGTGCCGTGTTCAATAGAGGGTATTCACCTGGCAATTTTTGGTCTTGATCCATGGCCACAGTGGCGGACCTTCGCATTGCATCACTGGATAGTTGGTCAACAATGGGAAGAAACAGGGCAGTGCTGGCTATTCCAGTCCAAAGCTGTCAGTCTCGATCTGCAGAACACAAAAACACATTCCAATTCCATCTGGCTTAAGTGGCAACCGTGAAACACCGTGAGTGAAACACCGTGAGTGAAACACCGTGAGTGAAACACCGTGAAACCCACAGGTTTTGGTAAAGTAATTCCACCACCGGTTATCACTGGTGGTCAGCTCATTGTGAATTCATTCTGCCAGGCTTCAAATTTGTTCTGCTGCAAACCAATTGCTTTGCGGGAGTCTCCAGCAGTGCAAGGTATCCTCAAAGCATCATGCGACGAATCACCTTCCGCAATGCGAAAGAATTGCAGTATCAGGGCCAAGCCGTACCATCCAAAAACGGTATGAAACACATGATTTCGGCTTTATATTGCTGTTATCCTTTGGTAAATTAACATAGACCCTGCCAGGTGGGGTTTGGAAGATTAGTTTCCATTCTCAAAATTGTTCTTTTCAGGGTCTATGTTTATTTACCAGAGAGTATAATATATGTGAATTACTATGTTTGTATTGTTTCACCCTCAAAATCTCCACTGTCATGTTCCTGTTCGGTCTCATGTTAGCGCTGTGCCAGGAGTCTTTGTTCGATTCATCCCTGGCATCAAACCACCAAGCAAACCACAGGCAGAAGGCATAAAGCTCGGTGCTAACCTCAGCCATGGCGGGAGCCTTGGGCAACAGCGATGGGACCGGAGATGAAGACTCTCGTCATCCCATCTGCTATTAAAGATGTTCATCGGTCTGGCATCATGTTTTTCTCACTAAATCGGCATGAATTGGAGATAATTGGAGTATCCCATATTTTAGAACAAACCCGTTTTATTCCGGAACGCTTTCCGACCTCAACTTCAAGTTATCCCTGATGCCACGCCACCCACAAAGTAAAGGTATGCTCCGGGTAGTACAGCGTCTGCACGGCAGCGGGAATCACCAACGCCAAGGTCAGACCAGCTGGAATTATCCAGACTTGTTGGATACCAAAGCGCTGAGTTGTGATATCAAAGACCTCTGCCAATAGCAACACCACCTTGGCTCATCGTCTTTGAAGTTGATGAGTTCTGAGGTTCAAGTTGGCCGAAGTGGAACCCTAGTGAATCACCATCTTTTCACCACTATGCCCCTATGCCAAATATCCCTCATCACCATGTCCAGCAAGACCATGATCGTGGCCATGGAAAATCCTGAGAAATTTCCCAGCTTTACCTCCAATTAGGGGATTTCTCAGCCACCTTTGATTTGCGGTCAGGATTCGATGATGCCCTTCATGGCCTCAGTGACTGACTCAAATGTGCAGAGGTCTGAAAATGCAGGAGATACCCGTTGGAGACCTTTCTGTCTGTGCAATTTTTATTCATGATGACCATCTGATGACCCTGGAATTTTGGAGATCCGATTTTTGAACGGAACAGCGTACGCAAATATCTGAAGCGCTTTGAAGCCAGCTCAAGGAATTGCCAGCTGGGGGGCATTCCGTGCCTCTGCTTGGGATCATCGGACAAATTGACATTTGCCTCGTACCCTCTGGTTATTTAACATAGCCATGGTATAGATGGCCCATAGAAATAGATGGTGTACTATATTAAAAATGGTGATTTTCCATGGCTATGTTAAATGACCAGATGGTAATTTATCCATTTCAATTTTCAATAGAAGTTAATAGAAGTTATACATGTAATTTACCATTATTACCATTACCATAGTAATTTATAGTAATTTACCAGAGGTAAGCAGAAGTCCCTGAACTTACCATGCATAGAAGTTCTCTCCAGCTGCTGGTTCAGAGCAATTTTGCTTTGGAGGTCCCTTCCACATTTTCGTACGTGTTCAATCCCTCTGGGTTTACTCATTTGGATGTGTCTGAAAATTAGGTATACCGTATATAGTATATATATATATGTATGTAATGTAATGTAATGTAATGTAATGTAATGTAATGTAATGTAATGTAATGTAATGTAATGTATGTAATTATATCTATATACCCTCCAAATGTACTTGACGGACCTTTTAATGGGGATAATAATGATGTTGAGGATATCTCCCGTCCCAGCGGCTGAGTTCAGATGTCTTCCCAGGCCGTCTTTCACGATGCGGCCGTTGCGGATGCGCCGCAGGCGCCGGTACTCCATGGCGCAGAACGCCACCAGAACTCCCTCCAAGTCCTAGTGGGGCATAAGGCTGGGCTTCTTTAATGTTGATTTAGTGGAATTGAATGGTGATTAAGAGGGATTTGATGGAATTCAAGGGTGATTAAGAGGGATTTGAAGGGATTCAAGGGTGATTGAGAGGGATTTGATGGAATTCAAGGGTGATTGAGAGGGATTTGATGGAATTCAAGGGTGATTAAGAGGGATTTGAAGGGATTCAAGGGTGATTGAGAGGGATTTGATGGAATTCAAGGGTGATTAAGAGGGATTTGAAGGGATTCAAGGGTGATTAAGAGGGATTTGATGGAATTCAAGGGTGATTAAGAGGGATTTGAAGGGATTCAAGGGTGATTGAGGGGGATTTGATGGAATTCAAGGGTGATTAAGAGGGATTTGAAGGGATTCAAGGGTGATTGAGAGGGATTTGATGGAATTCAAGGGTGATTAAGAGGGATTTGAAGGGATTCAAGGGTGATTGAGAGGGATTTGATGGAATTCAAGGGTGATTAAGAGGGATTTGAAGGGATTCAAGGGTGATTGAGAGGGATTTGATGGAATTCAAGGGTGATTAAGAGGGATTTGAAGGGATTCAAGGGTGATTGAGAGGGATTTGATGGAATTCAAGGGTGATTAAGAGGGATTTGAAGGGATTCAAGGGTGATTGAGAGGGATTTGATGGAATTCAAGGGTGATTAAGAGGGATTTGAAGGGATTCAAGGGTGATTGAGAGGGATTTGATGGAATTCAAGGGTGATTAAGAGGGATTTGAAGGGATTCAAGGGTGATTGAGAGGGATTTGATGGAATTCAAGGGTGATTAAGAGGGATTTGAAGGGATTCAAGGGTGATTAAGAGGGATTTGATGGAATTCAAGGGTGATTAAGAGGGATTTGAAGGGATTCAAGGGTGATTGAGGGGGATTTGATGGAATTCAAGGGTGATTAAGAGGGATTTGAAGGGATTCAAGGGTGATTGAGAGGGATTTGATGGAATTCAAGGGTGATTAAGAGGGATTTGAAGGGATTCAAGGGTGATTAAGAGGGATTTGATGGAATTCAGAGGGATTTGATGGAATTCAAGGGTGAGAGGGATTTGATCGGATTTAATGGTGATTGATAAGACTTGATGGTATCTAATCATGATTAATTAACAGGGATTTGATCGGATTTAATGGTGATTGATAGTGAATAGGGATTTTGTTGGATTTAATGGCAAAATGGATCGTTTATAATGGAAAATCCTATTAAAATAGATGATAACTGGGGGTACCCCCATTTTAGGAAACCTCCATATACTATTGAACATTTTTTTGCAGCGCTCCAAGTCTTTTCCTTTCTTTCATGTCAGGTTTCAGGGTAAAAACACACTCCGCACATCTAAAAACTGTTGGGTCAATTTTGATCATCCCAGCTATGGTTGAACATGACCATCCTCCAAAATCATAAGCCCTGAGAGTCACCAAACGCCAACTGGGTTGAAGTGTTGGGGGGATGGTAACCATGAGCATTTCCATAACCATAACCAATAATATTGATAACTGTTGACTAATATTATATTGTTGCTTCCATAACCATAACTGAGCTTTTCCTATTCAAAATCCAGAATTTTGGGCATTTCTTCTCTGATTACCCAGCAGGCCCCTACTAGGGCCACCAGCTGATTCTGTAGATGGGTTTCAACCCCATTAACTATAGAGTTTATAACAGAATTATGGGATCTATGGGATTTATAAACGATTGATAAACGATGGTGGTTTCATGTTGTTTCCTTGACATAAACCAGTTGTTGGAGATATGTCAGTTACCAACTTAACAATCATAAATCAGCCATAATTTATATCATAAAATCCATCAATAGAATCTATAGAGATATGAAATAAATGTAGCATAAACCCCAGCCCCCTGGAGCCAAGATACATCGCTGCTGGGGGGGTAAAACGACTCATCAGAACCTCAGCTCAACTGGACCCTAAGGTCTTGGTGAAACGAAGAAAGATCCATCCAAGACTGTAGGATATAGATGGATATAGAATACAGCATAGCACTTTATGTTTGAACCTGCAAAGACTATATCTCATATAGTTGAATTATGTTGAATTGATAGTTGCATGTAAATTGTAGGATTATGTTGGTGGCTTTTGCGGTACTTGTTCGTATCATTGTGATTTGTTACTTAATAATGGCACACACACAAACAAACAAACACACACACACACAAGTCTTACTCAATGTTAAGGTGCCGCGACCGCTATATCAACCTATGATCAACTGTGTATATCATTCTTTGGGCATGCTCGAAATTATTCACCCCATAATTTCGATAAACTAGTGTAGGTTGAATATCAAGTCGCTTCTTCATGGTGCTACAACTCAGACCTGGCAGTACTCGCCGAGTCTCCATCGGAAGTGTCACTTCCATCTGTGAAGGTATGTTGCACACTTGGATTCTCCTCATCGCTTCCCATGGCATCGAACACGCGGGCTCCACAGCATCCGTTTCTGGTAGACTCTGGAGGATTTTTGGACATCAAAAGGGTCAAAATTCATTTGTGATCTGCTGACCGTCCCCAAAATGAGGGGAATAGACCATTTTGGGATGCTCTCTTCCTTGCAATTCCTGGGGAATCTGGTTTGGACCCGCAGCTATGTTTTTAGGGGTTGCAAAAGATGCTTGCTTGCCACCACCTAGCAAGAGCAAGAAATTAAACAATGGACTATAATACTATAGGAAAATGCATAGTTCAGCATTTCACGTTTCACCTCTGTCCACATGGTTCCACCACCTCCTCTTCGCCTAGCTCTTTGACTTCATTCTGATTCATCTGGATAAATGACAATGATTCACCAAACTAAAAAAAGACTAACTTTTATTGATTCATGATACGTTGCATGTCGCGAGTGGTGTCTGCAAGGACTGGTTGTCATGGTGCAATCCTTCATTGTTGCGCAGCGTTCTAAGTTCAGCTTGAGCCACAAACATGGTGCATGCTACGACTCGTGCCCCGCAAACGGCGCGATCTGGCAATCTCCCGGTCTTCCCATTGTTAGACCTTTCTTTGTCCCATGAATTGATGATCGTGATTTCTTTATATTGCCATGATCCCTGGTTTATACAGAATCTATGTGCATTTTTCAACATACCATATGATAAACATGAAATTCTCGGGTCTCTGCCTCATTCTATCTGGTAAAATATTAGCAGCGAGGTTTTATACCATAGGTTTTATACACACCAACATTCTCATATTGTGGTTTGTATTGGGGATCCCCATTTTGGTTCCCAAGTTCGTTCCGAGCGCGAAAAAGGTCAAATCCTGAACAACTGGGTCTTAACTCCCGCTTTTTAAGCTGATAAAAAATCCCAAGGTCTGTGGTTTCGATACGTTTTGACTGTTCATTGCTTAAGTCTCAATACCTATTCTTCTTTGTCAAACTGACTTACATGTCTCGGAAAGAAAAACAACATGTTTTGTTGAACAAAAACAATGCACAGCGAATGAACACAACATTTGTCAAATTTGCTGTTTTCACATAGAATCATCTAATATATTCCAATCTCATATCATAATAAGTTATATATTATATATAATATTATATATTATGTGTGTATCTGTGTTCAAATTCATAGTCCCTAAACCCTCATGTTTCACCCATTTCCCCACAACGCGCCTCCTCTACCTCCGGCGGTTCCTCCTCAGCAGGCGCCTCAGTGGTCTCCATGTCTTGCGCCTGTGCCAAGATGTGCCAAGGGCTGAGGCATTTTAAAAGATATTATGGAAACAAACTATAAAAAGTAGGATATTGATGATTATGGTGGATATCAAACTATAGATGTTTTAAATGGGAAAATCATTTACCTGTGGGATATGCATGGGTCTAAATGGGATATTAACTCTGAAAAATGGGAATTTCACCATCAACGTTAGGGATTTAAGAGTTGAATAATGATCAATCAGGGAAAGAATCCATGGTTTTGAACCATCATTTTTAAAAGATAGATTTAGGTCCTAGGTTTTTTAAGCGTCAAATCATTTGGGATCTCACCAGAATTTCGGATGTGAATCTCCAGAAGGAAGTTTGCCATGCTTAACCAGTCACCATGATTCACCACTATTAACCATGGTTAATTACTATCCCATTAATTTATTAAGCATATGGTTAATTAACAATTATTAAGTAATCATTTTATTTATTTTTTTTAAACCATGGTTAACCATGGTTAATTAACCATTATTAACCATGATTAACACAGCTTAGTCCCGGCTCTTCAGCCCACCACGGCTTAGGCCCAGCACCTCCTCCTCTTCCTCCTGCACCACAGGATCCGCCGCCTTGGCTTTGGCCTTGGCCTTGCCCTTGGCGCGGCCTGGCGAAGATCTGACACGGTGAGACGGGAAATGGTTAGGAATATGGGGGAGATCACCAAGTTGTCTGAACAAAATGAGGAACACACACACACATATATAACAAATATATATATATATACATAAATATTATATTATATTATATTATATTATATTATATATTATTATATTATATATTATATTATATTATGTTATATTATATCAATTTATATTATTATTAATAATATATATATATATATCATGTTACATTATATGTACATTATTACAATTGGATTTTCAGGGTGGAACGCCCCCCCAAATGGACATGACAATGGATGCAAAACCGTCCTCGACCACGGGAACACTGGCATGGTCAAGTCACGGGGTAGACGCCCAAAAAACGGTGGATATTTATTGTCAACTTGTCAACATAAACACCATCATCCAGAAGCATCCGTAGAAACATCCGTTACTCCCCAAAGAATTTATAATTTATATATAGGGGTTTCCATAAATGGGGATCCCCATTTTTGGATGGTTTATTGACAATCCCAATCTAATAACTGGATGAGAACTGGGGGTACCCCCAGGACTTAAGAAACCTCCATATCAACATCATCATCAACCTGGATGGCCTGCAGGCTTCTTCATGGTTGTGTCCTCTTCCGGAGCCTGTGGAAAAAACGGCGCCGAGCTGTCCCATTTTGTTGGAGGCAAAATGGGATCTAATCGGGAATTATAGGGATTTATAAGGAACTTGTAACCATTTTGTCAAATAATATAGTTGACTTGTAGTTGACTTATGGTTCACTTATGACGTTTGTACAGTAACTTAAGGAGAGCTCAAACACCACGGCTTTCTATGCCATCTCTACGGATTTCCCAAGAAAATAACCCTTTGCTCAACTGCCACTTTGCTTTGGAGAACCACTGTGTATATAATATGTAAATTATCGAACTAAATGGTCCATCGACTTATACCATAGCTATGTGAAATTGTATACGTATATAATTATATTATATAATCATATATATATAATCATATTTATATGTATATATATATATTATATTCCAATTACATCCCAAATACATCCCTATGAATCCCTCTGTTTATTATCCCTAAGTCTGTAACAACTTGAACATCCCCGTCCGTCTTGGTTTCCAGGCTCCCATCTCCACATCTTCTTCTGCCACAACCTGCCGTCAGGTGCCAAGGCATCCGTGGAGAAGCGGGGGTCCGTTGATCCACCAAAATGCATCAAACAAATCACTCCAATATCCACATCAACCAAGGATGCTCAAGCAATCACACATCCATCAACTTGGTGAAAGTTGCGTGTCTGGGTGTTCGAAGTCATTTTTTTAAAACCTGCCAGGTGAGGTGGTTCTTCATCCACAATCCACGTTGCAACAGTCAGAATAACGCTCTTAGGCATCATACTGCAATACCCTATACTATACAACTGTCAATCAATAGTCACTAGATTGGTTCAAGGGGACAGGAACACCTCCCCATATTTGATGCGAGAAAGACATGGAACACCATGGACCATGATTTGATATAGACTTTCCCAAAAACCAATCCCATGAGATAGACAAATTGGACCATCCCTGGGTACAACTCTGATGTGTTGCACCTCCAAAGTCTGTTTGCGGGCCGCAGGGCGCTTCATCATGACCTCGGGTCTGGGGGACATACACTATATATGCATATATATATATATACAATGTATATAGAGGATTATAGAGGTTTCCTGAACTGGGGGTACCCCCAGTTATCATCTATTTTAATAGGATTTTCCATTCTAAACCCTCCATGATACAAAAATGTGCCATCAAGGGCTTCTTAAGTAGGAGTACTGGGTACAGGAGTATGATAGGCTCTGATAGGGATATTGTGGATATATTTTCACGACATAACCATACAAAAAAAACACCTGGTTGGTGGTTTCACCAGCAAAACCATGATTTAGGCCATCGGGGATCATCATCCCAGAAAAAAAATGGTTGAAATTGGGTGATTCAACAGATTTTTTCAGCCACAAACATAGGGATTCAACAGTCAGTAGCTGTGCTTTTTGATGCTGACATTGGGCCCCCCCCTTAGGCTGAGAAAATCTGGTTCCATCAGCGACGGGTCCGGTGATTTCAACCGGAGATACAGCAATGAGTTGGGGGCTTCACAAATTCTTGAGTTGGTGCTAAATTGAAACCATGCCCAAAATACGAACCCATTTGGAATTTTGCATATATATATATACATATCTTATATATTCTTATATTATATGTAATATATGCATTGCAAATTGCGAACACCAATGAACGATAACTGTCAAAGACTCGAAACCACCAGCCAACACGTCATCGAAAAACACCTGGACCCGCGATGCCTGACCCTCGTCGTTCTCGAACTTCGTGGCTAAAGCCTCACATTGGGCAAGATCTTGGTGGAGCAGTCCATACTTGGGCTATCTCTGCGTATATCATTTTGCAGGCTTAAGCATAGCCCAACATGTACAAACTATGGGCAAACCATGGAACAGCATTGGTCACTGCAAGAGTTGGATATTCAAGACATGTCAAGACTAAGAAACGGATCGAAATGCGGTGGAAAAGCCTTAGCTTTCTACCTCTTAGAGGCACTAGCCCTTCCACTGATCAAATGCTCTGAAGCTGTTGAACCCCCACATGAAACTCAACAGCCGTGTCGTCTTTTTTTTGCGGGTTAAAAACCACATCCCCTGTTGGAGTCTCATCCTCAAGACTTCTCAACCACCATGGCATGTGGCTGAGGGTCCCAACCACCAAGACCTGGCGCACCTCAGTTTCCTCGGCAGAACAAATGCATAGGGACATTTGGGATGGCACATTGGACTCCATTGGACCCCGAGCAATGCTTCAATTGTGGCCAAACAAACCAGCATCTGGTAAACATACAAAAAGCTATTGAAAATGGCCCAGTCGAATTTAGTTCATTGACCCAGCTATAAAATGGTGGATCACCTGGCTGGATCAGAGCTTTTGCAGACTAGTCACTGTCATGTGCTCCAAATCACCATCAGTATACCTGGGCTCAAATTGGAATCCCACCATCCCAGAATATCCCAGAATGGTTTCATAAACTTTCAAATCCGTACTGTTTTCAGGGTGTCATATCTTTTATTCGAAGAACATTCTCTTGTCCGTTCAATGTCAAAAATGCAAAGCAGAGAGAGAGAGAGAGAGATAGAAAAAAACGGCTTTCCAAATTGTCAGCCATTCATCGGAACACATATGAAATCCAAAAAGAATCCAGGTTTTCCTGCAATGTCAAAATCCAACAACCACCACCACCACCACCACCACCAGCACCAGCACCAGCACCAGCACCAGCACCAGCACCAGCAACAACAACAACAACAACAACAACAACAACGACAACCGACAACCGACAACCGACAACCGACAACCCACAACCCACAACCCACAACCCACAACCCACAACCCACAACAACATCATCATCATCAACAACAACAACATCATCAACATCAACATCAACATCAACATCAACATCAACATCAACATAACATGCCATTTTCACAGAAATAGCTCACCACCAACCCAAAAGCAAGGCTAAGCTCATGTGGAATTCAGGTGTGGTGTTTCTGTCGCCTGACTCGATAGAGGCGGTCTCGGGAGATTTGGCCGACCTGGCAGAGAGGAGGTGCCTTAAATTTCCGCGGCAACGGGTTTCATGCAGAACTGCCTTCTTATCTTCTTCATATGACCACCAAAGTGTCTGCACGCGTGCATCATACAGACATATAATAATATATAATGTGTATATATATATATGTAGTATTATGTAGTCCTAGTAGCCATGCATCATTCTGGTCAGCAACAACATAAGTAACATAAGTTCCAGGTTTCCAGACCGCATGGGGTAGTGGTCCAACCCTCCAACCCCACCCAGACTCGCAACCTCGATATCCTCGACCACACCCTTGAACATCTGGCAGTGCACAGGCCAACACATGACCCAAATTGTCAATGGATTTCAAGCATTTCACCCACAGAAATTGTGTTTACCAGGAATATCCAGTTATCCAGGAATAAGAATCAACAACTAGAAAGATGTTCACCAACAAAATTGCCTTGTATGGCAGTATGTCAGTATGTCATTTCTCTCTGGTACCCTGGTTGTTTTATGCTCTTTTGACATCCCAAAGCATGCAATCCTGGCAACTTCATCAACCTTTCTTGGGGAGTGTGGTATGGGAAGCACCTGAGCATGGGTCAAGTTTCCTTCGTTCCAAGTTCCTTTTGTGGGTCTGTCTGAAAATCAGCAAAGCATAGCATTTTCCATCCATGGCATCAATCATCATATTCCCATCATATTCCCATCATATTCCCCATTTCATTTCAATTGGTAACCCATCTCTGGACAAACCCAGAAGCGACGGCCATTTTTGAAATGGCCGGGACCTTGCCGTCGATCGTCTTGGCCACCTCGGCATTGAGCAGCTCGTCATTTTCCTGGCAGATTTTGGAGATCTAAGCAGCGTATATGGAGGTGGCTCAAGAAATATCGCATTTTTCCATTCAAAACCTATGATTTTTAGTATGAGCAGGGGGATGAACATCCATTTACCAGCTATGTGTTGAAACCAAGGTACGAGGGATTTGATGGGAACCCACAGTTTGCATGTTTTCTTCTGGTTCGTTGTCTATTCATACTGCTAGGTATCTCCTAGGTAATACTATCCGGGGACAACGACTGAACCATCACGGCTGGGTTATATTCTCATTTTTTTAGTTTTTGTTGTCAGTCAGTATTGCCATTTCTGTTGGCAAATATATACATATAATTATGTCTCCAACGTTGTTCTGTCGCCATCCTTCTTGATCTTGCTAGCGCCAGCCACTAACCATTTTTGTTGGAAAAATGACCACATCATGTTCCATTTCCATCGTCTTGGTAGAATCTCCCAGTGTTGACTTTTGAATATGTTTGAATCCTATGTTCTCCCCATTTTGGTTGGTTATGTCCCCATAATATCCACGTTCTTGTTGCTGCTTTCTGGAGTTTCCACCCTCAATCCCACCTTCAATTCGGACGGCAGCTGCTCAATGGTCTCTTCCTGAGACCCACAAAAATGATCAAAGATCCTAATGTGATCTGCTTTTTAACATGATAACCTCCCAATATGGGGATACTTTAGGGGATTCTACGGGTATTTAATACTGCGTATCTATAATGGGTATATAATGGGATGTATATTACGGGATATATTTGTAGCTGGTGGTTAAACTACCCCCTGAAAAATCATGCTCGTCAGTTGGGATCATCCCCCGGTTGCTTGAACATCAACAGAATTCAAACCACCAACCATTCCACAGCACATGCGGTTTTAACAAAAATCTAGGGTTGACATTATTAATTTATCAAACACGTATGTACAGATTGCAGATACGAAGCAACAAACAATAACCGCAAGCACGGCAAAACAACATCTAAGAATCCTTTGGTAGCTGTTCACCATTTTGACACAGGCCGCCTGGACATACTTCAACTTTGTCTGCTTAATATCGTGAGACCGGCCATTTCTGGTCGTAAATGGCTGGAAAAGCCATCATTTGTGATGATTTTCCCAGCAAACTAAACCTCGAAGTGACTCTAGTTCAGCGGGATTTGCCAACCAACCATGTTTGATTCTCCAAACAATATTCCCATATATTCCCATTAAGAATCCCATTCAACATCCCATTCAATCCCATTAAACGTCCAGAAACCTCATTATTAATCCCATTACTAAATGATATTAAATCCCATTAAAGCATCCAATTCTTGGGTACAAAAACCATCCAAAACAACTCCCTATCTATCACCAGCAACCTCTGAGCTCCTGACTTCGGCATCAGCAGGGTCCGCCTCAAGCTTCACACGTGGTCAAAGGAGGCTAAAATTCTTTCTATAAATCTGCTATAGAAGTTGATGCAATCCATAAACAATAAACAGCAATCTATAAACAATCCTATAACCATAGTCCTATAAAATATAGTCTGACCTATTTTTTAAAATAGCAATCTCTATGAAAGAGCATGAACGATCAAGGAAACCATTCCCCAACAAAGATAACCTATATGGCTCACTCCAGGGGCTCCAGCCATTTTGCCGTTAGGTCAGCGCCCAAAAAAACAAATGTCTTAGAGCCGCCAACGGCAACGCGTCTGGTTCTTGCAAAGCCACAAATTCTCCAGCGTGACACAAGCTGCGGAGGTCAAAACAACGGCAATTCGATCATAAACTGGTTGGTGGTTTTAATATGTTTTAATCATCTTGAAAAATATGAGTAAATGGGAAGGATTATCCCATAATTATGGAAATTTATGGAAAATAATAAATGTTTGAAACCACCTACCAAATAAATCATCATCCATTGGCTCCAGTAGTGCCGACTCATGGTCTCATGTGCACTTTGCAACGATTGAATAGTGTCAGTGTTCAATAATTAGTTCGCAAATTTCATCCGTCCTACAAGTCATGCCCCACACAAACATCAAGCTGGGTACATCCTATAATCTTTGCAGTTGAAATCTGATATTTGCACTGCCCACATTGCTTAAACTTTGGATCCTTTGAAATTCTTCGGAATGCAGCAAAGGAACTGCTCGACAAGTAACCCAGTGAAGCTTCTGTGCATGAATTCTTTGGGGAAGAAAACTACGTGGATTCACTCTTCAAAACATTCAAAACCTTCAGTGAGACACATCGCGTCATATCACATCGCTTTGTTTGCTGCTCTCATGGCATTCTCTGCTCTAGCCAGTCTTTCCCATTCAACCCTCCACGCCGAGGTAGGAGTGTCACCTAATCTACTCACTCTCCAAAGCCGCGGAAAGGCGTCTGGAGAGGCATCATCAAAGCAATACGCAAGCGACCCACTTTCTCCAGCTTGCAATGCCTTTAGCATCGCAAACCCGAAAGGGAAACAAGATGCATCAAGATGCTTTGAATGTCACACCAAATAGTGACATTTGGCTTTACGATGTCTCCGAACATGTGCTTGCAGAAAGATCCCACACTTGCGCATTCATTCAAGGCTAGGACAGTTCTGCTGACCCAGCTTCTGCAAAGAATCTTGGAGCCTCTGTTCACCAGAGTGGAAATGAGACATTCATCTTATTTACCGATAATCTATGTCTTGCCAATTATACTGCAGCCAATGGGCTCGAGTGCATCAAGATTCACTCAACTGACTTAAATGGATGCCATGGATGCCATCCAGCCATGAACAGTTTCTCCAAGGACCAGCTGCGATTGCTTGATAGTGAAAAGTCGAGATTACCCCGTCCAATCCAATCGCTCCTGGACTGAACCCCTGGATTGTCGGCAATGCGACCAGGTTTGTTGTTGATTAAAAAAACATGAGATGAATCAACAATGGGGGTAGAACATGGCATTAAACAGCATTTGGTCCATAAAAACGACGTATATTTGCCAATTTCACAAGTAGACTTGGACAATATTCAATGATATTCACGAAATTTCACAAAGAATGTGGGCAAACATCAGCATAATTATGGTTGAATACCTGTGCACAACCGAGAACCAGGCCCCAAGAATCCGCAGGCCCACACCAAGCGTCCTCACTTGGCAGCTGGTTTCTTCACAGCCTGGCCATGTACTTCATGAGTCATAAGAAAAACAAGTGGGACTGCTACAATCAATGCTAATCAATGATAATGGTGTTTGTATGGATTTGTGAACCAACAACAATGGGTTTATTTGAGGCCCCTGCCTCACTTTTTCTCCAGAATTCAGGTCAACCATTGAAAACACCCCGTTTTCCCATCTCATTATATTAGTTGGTTGACAAGTTTCCCTACTATGGGTTATCATAATCCCCAATCAATTAGGTAGTAGAAGTACCTATATTAACCAGTCAACCAGGGTATTTTTCCTGTATGTGCTCGGATGGTTCCCCCCCCCTGGTAGCATCGCGTCGCCCACCTCACTTGGCAGCGGGTTTCTTCACGGCCTGGCCAAAAATAGCTTGGACCATCGTGCTCATGGGTCCTTCAACTAAAATTTACACCCCCAAAATATGCCAAAATATGACGCGGAACCCCACATACTTTTACTTAGGAAGATCATTTTACTCTCTGATATGGTTACTTTTTGGTTCCGTGTGATATAAATATGGTGCTGTATATCAATTTATATGGATGAAAACTTAAGAAGTAATTTCTCCAACATTGATGAGATTTCAATGATACACGTAAATGTTAAGTGCTGGAATGGATCAACCAACAGCAGCGGGTATAGGTATATATGATTATATATGAATACATATGTATATATATATTATATTAAATGGTATTATTGTAATTATGAGTAATGAAAAACCTATGATGTTCCCAAATGCATGGATGGATCAACGTCCCTGAACACAAGCTATTTCAAACAGACGTAAACATCTACCAGCTTTGACCCATCTAAATATCCGAGCCATGTCTGAGCAAAAGTATCAACCAAAAGCGCCGCATATCAAGCTGGCTTCAAAGCATCTCTAGCAAAGTGTAATGGCAATCCCAAACTTATATATATCTGGGTAAATTACAATAATTCACTAACCTGAATTAAGGCCATTTTGGGATGATTTCCCTTATTAACCATGATTCCAGTGAGGTCGCAGTGAGGTCGTTATAATTTACCCAGAGATCTGATATATATATATATTATATATATACTACCAGCTCAGCTGTATTGACTTTACAACATTAAACCAACATGCATAATGATGATCTAATCATGTGAAGGATTCTACCCCATCACCACTGGACTGGGTAGTTGCTGCCTCATCCCCAGCCCAGTGATCGACTTGACGGGGCCTTGGTCTTGGCCTGGGTCATGCAGGGTCTATGTTACTTAGAGAGCGTCTACCTTCCAAACAGAGGGGTTACTGATTGATCTTGATGGATCTCAAAACATAAAGGATGTCCATAATTCGCCTTAAAGCTGCGCTTGGTGGGCAGCTGTGTCAGATGGGGTCAACCTTACAAGTAGCCTGGACAAACTGAGGCAGAACGTGTCAGAAGATGTCAGAACGTGCTGACTGAAATCACTGAGCCCTCGGCCTTCGCCTTGGCTTTCGCCTTTGCCTTGGCTTTTGGCTTGGCTTTCGCCTTGGCCTTTGCCTTGGCTTTTGGCAGCGCCTTAGCCTTGGCCTTGGCCTTGGCTTTGGCCTTTGCCTTCGCCGCCACTGCTTTCGGAGATGGCTTTGGAGCAGCTTTGACCTGCAGCATGGCTGGATGGGCTCATTGACATCCACTGGTATTGGTGAGAATGGATCTTCTTGTATTCAAAACTACCAACTAATACTGGAAAAGGACCATCCGCACAGCTACACATTGGCAAGGAATTCCTGGACTGCCACGCACATGCAAGTCAATCATCCGCAAAAGTTAAATGTCTTGGCTGCAGCAAAACATGAAATGAGCAATCCTCAGCCATTCGACATGTCGGTGTATATACCTGTGATTCTTGGCGAACATCGACTTGACAGCGAGTAGTATTGTCCGGCGGTGGCTGATATTCCTGCGGGGGGATACCTCCCCTGGTATTGGTAGATACTTCCGACCAGCCTTCGCAGCTGGCTTCTTAATCGCGGGAGCCTCCTCCATCTCCTGTTGAACCAACCCTGTGCACCAACAGAAATCACCATGGACAACAGAGAAACCTACATTCAATTGGAGAATACATAAGTTTTTTCCGTGGGCGACACCCACCCGTTTCTCGGTAAAATAAGAAGTACAACCAAAAATTTCCAACTGGGTCTTGGAAAGCCATAGGTTTGCACCAGCAGGTGTCCTATTCGGTATCATCCGTGAATGTTTCTGGGAAAACTAAACTACAGAATGTGACCTGCACATGGGTATGTCTGAAAATGGGGTATACCCCCAATTATAGCCATTTAGTAGGGATGATGATCATTAGCCATTGGGTGTAGGGGTACACTATTTTCAGACACACCCACATCAATGTTGATTCCAACCTCTTCTACACTGATTGGCTGGGAGGAATTCAAGGAACCGTTTATGCACTGTGACTGTGTGGGACCCACTTCATCAAGAACCGTTGCACAGTATGGCAAGAAAGCCGTTGCCAGGTATCCTTGGGAACGACCTGAATGTATAGATTCCAAATGTGTCCCTTTATGTCCCAAATGGTAGCCACCCTCATGGACAACAGTGGGGTAATCCCCACTGGAGACGGGCGAACACCCGACACCAGTCAGATTATCATGTGACTATCATGATTCATTTCACCCTATTTTCCACCCAACAATTCTTGGTGATTCTTAGTGAAATATGCATCAATATGCAACATTCATCGGATGATCTGAATCAAACTTTGAATTATCCCTTAAATGTTCAAAGGAAGTTGGGAAGCAATACTTCCGTGTTACGGACAAATAGAAAATGATGAAGGGTGGTGATCCCATAACAATACATTGCAGGGTGGTAGATCACATAACAATACATGACAATAACAATACATAACAAAAGAATAAGAAGCAGTGGAATTGACTTTGATGAAGGGTGGTGATAATGACGGGTGGTGACGAAGGGAAGTGGTGACGAAGGGAAGTGATGATGAAGGGGAGTGGTGACGAAGGGAAGTGGTGAAGAAGGGAAGTGATGATGAAGGGGAGTGGTGACGAAGGGAAGTGGTGAGGAAGGGAAGTGGTGACGAAGGGAAGTGATGATGAAGGGGAGTGGTGACGAAGGGAAGTGGTGAGGAAGGGAAGTGGTGAGAAGGGAAGTGGTGACGAAGGGAAGTGGTGAGAAGGGAAGTGATGATGAAGGGGAGTGGTGACGAAGGGAAGTGGTGAGGAAGGGAAGTGGTGAAGAAGGGAAGTGAGTGGTGACGAAGGGAAGTGGTGACGAAGGGAAGTGGTGAAGAAGGGAAGTGATGAGAAGGGGAGTGGTGAGGAAGGGAAGTGGTGACGAAGGGAAGTGGTGAAGAAGGGAAGTGATGATGAAGGGGAGTGGTGAAGGGAAGTGGTGAAGAAGGGAAGTGGTGACGAAGGGAAGTGGTGAAGAAGGGAAGTGATGATGAAGGGGAGTGGTGACGAAGGGAAGTGGTGAAGAAGGGAGTGGTGGAA